AGTTAGATTTTGAAGTGAAATGGATGTTGGGCTGTGCACACATCTTGACAATAAACACGTTTTGATTTCTTCATCTTGTGTGTCCTCTATCGGTTCATGGTTACCATGGTATCGATACAGTAATCATCACTATATGTCACAAGTCCATCATCTTTACAATAAACATTTATTTTGGGTTTTGTGCATTCATTAATGTAGATTTCACTCTGTTTAAAAGTTCCCAGGCCAATAAATACGGCTTGAAACTCTAATGGTGAAAAAATGGATTTAACCATTCTTTGCTTTATGGTATTCGGAATTCACTTGTGAAATACAATATTTAATAATATCCAAAACCCAAAATAGTGTTGATAGTATATATTATATGACGAGTATGACGGTGTAGCATGACGGAAGTCACCACGTACAACAGCCTCGCCAGTAACTTCTCATGGAATGTTTTCAACGTCAGTGTGATTTTCGAGCGAGAAAACTCGTTAATGACAGGCACAGTGTAGCAGGTTTAGAGCAAGACTTCTACAATTCCCTGTGTTAAAATGCGCATGCTTAAATGGTCACACTTGCAAAAACGCTTCAAACTTGTACATGCCATGGCTAATCGAAGCTTCCTACAAAGGCCAAGGCCAAAACCATGCAATTTGAGAAAGGTATGTTAGTTGTAAATGACGTATATGTAATATATGTTATTATAGTACTATTATATATATATAATATATATTATATAACTGCAAATGGTGATATTGTAACTGGTTCCGAAATGCTGCACAAATGGCTGACTTATGCGCCACCACACCATTTTGAGTCATTGACAAACACAATATTACAAACACGTCATTATATTGATGCACGTTCTAAGAAACAAACTTCAAACATTAGCATTCCGGCACACACGGTTAGTTATATTATAAAACACACATTGAAGTTACAAATGTACACTTACTTATGCAAGGTGCTATCGGAGATCGGCTCTGGGTATAACCCGGGGAACATCTGTTGCACGTGAGCGCAGTTACGCCGTCCTTACAGGGACACTGGCCTGTTGTCTGGTTGCATATTTCTCCGGCAGCTCCCACGGGATGACATTCACATGCTACGGAACAACACAATATACACCTCGTAATGAAACATATTTTTTTTTAAAGTTGAATAACGCTGACAAAAAACACCTATGTAGGGAAAGTATTTTTTCATATAAATTCAGTGGCGGCGGCACAAGGGGGGGGGGGCTGAGGAGCAGTCGAAAAACCCTTTATGTCAGCAAAATTTGCCCCTCAAAATGCAGAAATAACGTTTCAGAGGGTATATATTTCAAAATGTTTAAGGGAAGCATGCCCCGGGCCCCAAGTAAGGTCGCGCCTTCGGCGTAGGTTAGTGAGCAGATCTCGCCCCATGCAAAATTGTGTACCGCCGCTTCTGAAATTAGCATCATTCGTGTATTGACATGTGATTATCCATGTTTGTTGCTGGAATATAAATTCATGCCACTAGTATTAGAGACAATCTTCACACGAATAAACGAATAATGTTTCTATGACAACCATGTTATTCGACGCTACTGCATTAAATGTGTAGCTAAGAAACAGATGAATGTTAGAATGTTGGCACCGACAGCTGCCTAGTCCTTTTCTTTGATAAGGAGGTATGTGTGAAAAAATAGGTCAAAGCTTACAAATATAAATATGTCCGTGTGGTTTATTATACGCGAAATGATAACGTATGTTTTGCACATGTGCGCTGATACGTTTGTGTTTTAACGTGCTTGCATATGAAACTCGGGATTTCTTTTAAATGTTTGTAAATTGAATCAGTATGTCAGTACATTCCACTTGAAAGTTCCCTATGACGATGGTCATCGACCAGTACCAAATGTAACGCATCACAAATTCTTCCTCCCTTTGGGGGATTACCAAGTATCAAGAACCCTGTGCGCCGGTGAAAGATATTTCCTCTATCAAATACTATTGGTGAAATAGTTGAAACGTTTTCATGATTCAACATGGATGACCTTCCAGTCCCATCTTATTAATGAGAACAGCTGAATCGAACCCTGTTTTCATTTTAAATCAGGAAATGAGGTGTGTAGCAAATCATTAAATAACATAGCTAGTGTACAATTAAACAAATTGGTGTATATTTGTTTTCATATTCTAGTTTAAGTTATCTGAATATAGAACGAATGCACTAGACAAATATCTCCTCTATATAGAAAAACGCATAGACAAAGTTGTTCTAACGGTATCTGCGTTTATTTAATTACCGTCAAACTGCCTATTACTAACTAATTAGGGGATAAATACATTGTGTGTGCTATTTTTTACACGTTGTTATTATCTGCCTCCTTACCGGTAATGGTACAACAATTTAATGTGAAACTCACAGATAAATGTTTAATTATTACATGTAGGGGTAGGTATGATGAGAACTCGTCTATATTGATGTGAAATGTCACTATGCCAATGTCTGCAATACGATGTAGAATGATGGTGATACTTTAGATGCGTTTAGAATACGCCGCCTCGTAGTTGTAAATATCCAAAGCTAAAAACTACGATCCATGTGAGAATAGATTATATGTATCTGCCGCGTTACATTCACTATAATGATAGGCTTATTTCTTAAAATAGTAAAACATTCGATCATCGACAACTGGTTTTAAATATCAATAAAGGCTTTCCTAAAATATTCTCCAGAAATTGTCTCGCATTCCTCGCGTGACTGACTGTTTTCGTAGATAGTTACATTACATTTGGAGTATGTATTATTAGTTGGTCGTAACCCCTTCACGTCTGGCGCAATTGATTGTTTAGATGAAGGCACCTATAGTATATGGATAGATGTTTATTTATCCGTAGGCGGAAAAAGAATTCTTCATACTCGCAGTGCCTGATATTGATTGGTTGCATATATCCAATCATTCAATTGTGAATATATTTATCAGCGTTCGTTTAATCTAGAAAATAAATCCGTTTCGCTGCGGTAAATTCAATCAGTACTGATTGTCAGTGCTGAAAGCTGACGTATTCGTTAGACCGTAGCCAATAAGTGTTATTTGTAAGAAATAATAATACAAAAGCTAAGATTTACATAACGTGTTCATAATCTAACAATATAAAGTTGCCGTCTCATTAAATAGTATGACTCCATAGTTACTCGAATATTGGGTGTAGAAACTCGAAATAATTCTTCATGTTTTCACGGCTAAATCAAGATATAAATCAACCACATTTGTATATCAACAGTGAATATTATAAATGACAATTTACTGGTCTTATACGAAATAAAGACAATCATAATGACTCAATTTCAGGTTTGTGATAGCCTTGAAGATAACTCCGACATTCAATTTACCGTATCCTAATATCTGACGACACCTCTAACCCTAAGTGAAACTGATATACCTCGTGAGTTATGTTTCGCGGGGGCACAGTGTCGAATACAATTATAAAACGTGCTACGGATGTGTGATGGTATTCTATAAAATGGCACCGATCTCACAACGGCCACACAGCAAATAGTACAACATTCGGATTTGAGTATATTCGTTCTAGAAATCACATGGACATATATTTTAGGCACACTTAAAATGAAATGATGTGATTTTGCTGCTTTTGGCATTATTCATCTGGACTTATAACATAATCCAATATGTACAAGCACAAAATTACATCTCACTATTATAATATTCATCACAGACTCGACAATAACTCAATTACAGCAGTACTGGAATCGTATCGAGACATCTGTAAACTGCGTTTTCGGGCGATATATATTCTCCATCGCATTCTTCTAATTATATTTCCACGTAAACCGATCGTTTAATCATGCAAGCTAAATGAAATGGGTGTGTGAGGAATTAACTGACAGAAAATGCTCCAGGGCCTTAGTTTCAAATTGGCGTCAGCTGCTACACTTTCTCGTACATATACTATTTCTGTAGTTGATAAAGCCGGTGTGAGTCATGCATTTAAAATTACCTGATCCCGTTTTGGATCCCATGCATAAAATCATTAAGTGTATGCTCTGGTTATTATGCGTGTTACGTTACACAATTATCTTGATTAGATTAGCATCTTATTACCATAATAAGACAATATATTAAATATGATACACGAATATGGCCATGCAGTAAATTCAACCATGGGTGAATAAACCGATTAATAACAATGCTGATTCCTAGAAATGTATCTGTATTTCACGTCTTAGGCGTTGTTAATTTCCATACACTGTCTGGCATTTATGATGTGTAATATTTACCATCCATGTTTTTCTTTTTACGTAGACGGAGCATAGGAAGGTAATTTATTACTGTCAGGTCGTTTTATTTTTCAGTAAATATGCGAACTCACTGCCATGTTTGAAAGTATTAAATTTCCAGCTTCCAATTAATTAGGTTCGTGATCAAACACGTGTTTAGTAAAATTGATAGTGACCCTGTCAATGCAGAAATCGGCCCATTAAGTCTGACTGTACACTTAACATTTTCAGTGTATGACCTTTGATGTTCTGAGTTATCGAGTTACATGAAATTCCTATTCTAGATTACGAGAACCCCTCCAGGTAAAGTTCATTTATTTTCTCGATAGAATGTGTTCAGGGCAGCGAACTATAGGATGCTCGTGAGGTCACACACAATACCGTTTCGATGTTTTATAGTTCTCTGTTCTTACACACATTTCCCACAAAAAATCAGGTTTGGAAATAGGTGTACATGTAATATCGGCGAAGTGACATTACAATTCAGTGTTCTGCCAATATATTTTTTATAGGTATGATAATGTGTCTCTAAATTCGGCAATGAAAAACTCAGACTACTGTCTTTAAATAAATAAGTAAATGAATGAATTAATTATTGAATGTCCCGGTTACCCGTCAATGAAGAGAATTCGCATACTTGTCTGTATTATTTCAGTAAGTGTAGTTACAAAAATAATTTCGTTTATGTTCGTTGAGTCCCTCGCATTCGCATAGTTTTAGAAGGACGCTCTTCCCACGGGGAAACTCTCGTGATATATGTAAATACAGAGTTAACAGTTTTAGATCGATTAGTAGAAATATCAACACTGGTATGTAGGATATTTAAAATCTCGAACGTTAATGAAATAAATAACGTCAAACCTGTCAAACTATTTCAAGTTCTCGAGCGCGTGAAACCTAATAATATTTCTGCCAATCGTATGGAGTAGGAGTTGTTGTTTTGCCATTGAACTGCACATCACGTTACAGACTACATTACACAAACATATGGCTTGATTTCGGGGAATAATATTTTTAATAAAAATGTTGTAAAGTTAGAAATAGCCAATTAATCAGAAAGTGCCTCGTGGCATCTCTATAGCCATTGCTACTAATCCCGGTTGTCGAGATTAAAATAAATCATGCCATATATTTATTTACCTGTCACTTAAACTAAGAACTAGAAAAAGGTTAGCCCGGGCCCAACAAGCAAACAACTACCCCTTCTAAATTACATAATATTTACTTTTGGCTTGTTCACGAGCATTTCACTGTTAGGGTGTGTCTGTTTACAAAATACAGATTGGGCATTACAGATAGTTAGTGCATTGTTGTATACCACTGTTTATTGAAGCAAATTAGTGCAGAATATCTTTTTTTCGGCAATTTAAATCTTCCACACACAAAAATGCAGTCCCATATATTAATTGTAGTATGTTGTATTAAATTGGGAACCAACTCGTAATTTTTGTTTGAAATAGTATACTCTTGCACGCATTATCGTGACTTTTTTAAAGAACACTTTTTTAGTGGATATTCATATACAACCCTTTTTACCACCTATTAGTTGTAGCACTATAATTGAAGTTTTTGTTTGGTTTGTCCCAAGAACTTCCACTCGATTTTTTCACTTAAAATAATATAAAGGGGATACTGTCTAACAAAATCAACACAGTAGTTACAGAAAAAAATACAGTGTTTCAAATTATTTGTATTTGTCTTCATTTTTCAATAATATTCATAATAAAATATAATAAAATTATCGAGTTGAGAATTGTTGAATAAATTAGTGATTTTGTCATTGAAATGGTATGCAATATCTCAGAAACAGTGTAGATATATGTAAAGCATGTTCTAAAAGTTGAGACAAATCGGCTATGACAATGCTAACTTAATGCTGCTATTATTTTTCGTCAGAAAATGCTAATTCACTTAACCAGCAATCTGTTTATGACATTCACTAGATATTGTTCACTCAAATAAAAAACAGTTGAATTAATAGATGTTCTGTTAAAAGTTAAATATATTGATTGATGTGGTGTATTACACAATGTATGTATACGTCTGTTGAATTACGCCACTGTCTAAACAAATTATATATAAATACATAGATTGGGTCATAATAAAATTTTCTCATTTTTCGATGATTCAGACATTCTACAAAAGTTTCTATGCATGTTACTAGTGCAACCTACACGTGAATGAATGTTTTGTGAATAAATGTTTAATTTACCAAATACATAAACTAGATAAGTACATACATTTTGAAACGAAAGCATCATAGTTAGAGTAAACTTATAGAACACCCTAGCAAATTGAAATTTTGACAATGGTCACAGAGGAACAGTTGGGTTAATTAAGTATGTAAACTTCGACATAGGCCAACACGTACTGCATACTGTAAAATGACTAATTTTCACTGGGTTTAAATTTCGCTGATTTACCATTTCAGGCATATTCAGTGGGTTTTAAATTCACTGTTTTATCATTTAGACAATGTGTTCTATCCTAAATTTTACATATTCACTGGGTTTTAATTTAGCGCATTTCTCAGTCAGCGAAATAAGCAAAATTAAAACCCAGTGAATAATTAACCCTTTTACAGTATACCGTACCAGTGTTTGTCTAAAGAATTACCTGATGCTCAATTTCAATACCATTGTTTTTAAACATTTCCAACCACGCGAATGAACTGTGAATGGCACAGAACGACTATAAATGCTGTAGCCTGGAGGAACACGTCTCGGTCTTACTTAATCTATCTTTGTTTTCTAGCTACGACCAAATCACTACAGAAATGCTACCAACAATCCGTGTTCCGTAGTATGTCTATAATACTCAACTCGTTTTATCTATGCTGCTACCGTAATCAGTTTTAGAATTTACTAGTTTAGTCAACAATCAATATTTTTTTTTAAATCGTATAAATGCCCATCCCCCTGATGTGATCTTCTCGAAAAAAAACACATGGGATCTAGATCAGTTTTATATTCACATCTCTGTATTAGTTCAGAAACAAAACATTGCAAGCAAGAGAACGCGTAAACTACGCTTACATGTGTTGTATATTGAGTAACACCAGTACTAGCTTACCTTTACATGCTTTCCTATGAGTGATTGGTTTCGATTGATCTCTATAATATCCCTCCTCACAGTAATGACAGTATCTACCAGCAGTATTGTGGCGACAGTTCAAGCACACGCCTCCACTTTTGCGTCCTGATAAGTTATATAGCTCCATGTTGAAACGGCATTTTCTGGCATGCAAGTTGCAAATACAGGCTGAAACAGACAGTAAGTGTCATCAGAGAAAATAGTTTAGAATGTTTTATATATTTACAGTAAACATGGAAACTCTAAGATATCATGCACATCACAGTATGTTAACAGTCATAAGTGATTTGTCGGACGACGGATGTGTAATGGTACGAGGAGATTGTTGGCGTTTTTTAAGGATATTTAACAATCAGATTCACTACCCAAGAACACGAAAATTGTCTGAAAAAGTGGCTGTCCAATTCACTAATACATGCGGAGGCTTTCAACAAGGAAACTGGCCCATTCGATTCGCAACATAATTTAGAACAAGCGTGTGATATATCATTCTAATAACGGTAAACTGTAATATATATATATATATATATATATATATATATATATATATATATATATATATATATATATATATATATATATATATATATACGCTTTCACACTTTATTGTCGGTAAACTTGACAGTTTTGCAGAGTTCGGGTTTAGTAAATGCTATAACAAACAATAAATGGAATCATACAACACGGAATGTTGTTAGCATGACTACAAAATTTTGTTTAATATTATCAAGTTTCATACTCTGACCCTAAAAGCAATGCTGTGTGGCAAAGATGTATTCTCGTCTGCTTTACATTTTCTCATCAGTTACATCACGTGACGTTCTCTAGGCCAATGAATGTGCATTGTACTGGTAACGTACCTTCTCTATAGTAAATAGATTTACCGAAATATGGCATAGTCCTTTATATGTAAGGACATGAAACAAGTTTGTTCTGTGTAGTTTGGGTCCGTGGGTCACCAATAAACATTCGAGTGAAGTAATTACATGGGTAGGTACTAGGTGCATCAACAAACTGCTGACGGCTGGACACACCTAAATACTCACTCAATTCCGTATTCTTGTACTGTTTTGCCAATATTGCCATTAGTTGACATCTTTGTTTGGTCTGGCAAAACTTTTGTGAGATATCGCAACGTTTTTTTTTTAAATCCAATGATTTTTTTTAATGTACCTTTGTTTTACACAAGAATGCAGCTTATGGACGGCATACATTACACATGGTATTTGAACACATAGTTTTGAATTAAATTGAGATTTGTGTTACTTATTATTTAGAAAACTCGTACTTCTAAGTAACGCTTAGGTATACGTTACACCATTCAGCGCGCCAAACGTGTTTGTTTATACCAAATTCTCCTTTGTCAACAGCTTGCAGAACATAAGAAAGTCATTTGCACCATTCGTCAAAACAAAGCGTTTACTCTGAAATTACACCTCCGGCTTTTCACTCGAAACATTTTTTCGATCACTTAGATGGGGTGCGCGCATATTTTGCTGGTGATCGGGTAGCTTTCCTTTTATTCAGGAAACATTTAATTGAACAATAAATGGTATTGTGTGTATTGAATGGGAGATTTAGGGTTGCCAAGCGAAAAGCCACCACCCACCCTTGTGTTTAGTGTGCTATCCAGTTTGGCGACCACGGTTGAAAATAAACTTGCACGCAATGGCGGCCTTTGTGTTGGTTGGCAGATCAATTGCGGCAAACATATTGGTGAAACATGCTTGCATATCCATAGTCACGCCTGGCAAATAAATTGTCCGGAGCAAACAGTCGACGTCACAAAACCAACCTAGGATTGTGACAGCGTTGAGATAGATTTCGTGATAGAAGAAGATTTCAACATGAGCACAAATTGCTGATCGTGACAATGAAGTAGACCCCCAGAAAAGTACAGTTATTCGAGAGCGGACATAAGCACGCTTTAAATTGCTAGACAAATCTGGTATTCTATGACCCAATCCCTAAGATTCCTAGATGAACATAACTTCCCCGTAACGTTATCAGTCCTGGATTTGTTTAAGATAATAGCACGAATCTTCGGTTTAAAGAGATTGTAATTCGGAAACATTCATGGCATTTTAGTCAGAAAAGAAACGGATGATTATAACATTACACAAAAGTTTGAAATACAGGTATATATTGGGGTGTAGCCCATTATTTATTTTTTAAAGTTGCTTAAAAACAGGAGTTTCCTCAACTCGCTTCAGTGGTATTAATAACTTCCACTCAGCGGATGATGGCCCGCGCTAGTAATGGCGGTTATCAACAATTTGTCGGCAATTGTTTATTCACCACTTTAACTTGATCATCTCGATAAAACTCAATTAGCTTACTCAGGAGGGCCCTTAACGGTGGATATTTCAAGTGGCAGTGCCACAAGTAGCCCCTATACAACTGACAGTGTTTACTTTGCTGTTGAAAATATTGATATAGACCTTTGCTAAGAACGTTGTGTAAGCATTTGAGAGCTGAATGCTACTGGAGCACATCAAGCTGAGCCGCGACATGTGTTTAAACATTACTTCGGCATTTAGATGCTCAAAGTGACGTCACTTATAGAATACTGTTGGGTACATATAATACAGTAGTTTGTACTGCTATTTGTAATATAATTTGTAGTTGATTCCATGCATATTCAGAACAAGCGAGGCAACATCTCGCATAAAGTCGCCAATTTGTTTTTAAACTAATTTTAGTTTGTCTGGTACCATCTTCCAAAATGTAAACAGAGTTTTATATTTCTGTGCAGAGGAAGAAGACACGACACAGTTAAAGGCCCGGCGTTGCATAGAGTAAATTCTCTGGATGTCTAAGCACCAATTCTGGTCAAGTAGGGGTTTCACGTGATCTATTCACACATACTTGGTGACAAATTGCTGACGATAACCTTGTCATATCCTATCAGTATCTTTACACTGACATGAAGTGATAGCTTGCCCAGACACTAACAATGCCAACTTGTGTGGTACTTGCTCTTAGGCTTTTCACTAGCTCACATACATGTTATGGCCAATCGTCATAATTATTAGGGGGGTTGCGTATCACTCCGTAACGGTGTGACTGGGTGACAATGCAGGTGTGTTCTACAGGCGTGAACAGTCTCACAACAGCCACAAATCATTCTTTGGAGGTGACAAGCCACATTACCGACTAATTAGGTCCAACAAAGGTACCCAACGTGTCAGTGTTTGGAGGGATAAGACAGAAAATGGCATCGCTGCTTTCTGACTAAGTAAACCAAGTAAATAAGCATTGAATATGCCTCACACCTGCACACAAAGACGGATAGAAGCGGCATTGATGTACCCTTCTCCATTACACTCCCCCGGCCCACGGCTAACAAATCCATCGCACAAAGCCTGTTTCTGCCAGTGTTGGAAACATACATCCCTTGATGGCCTTTGTTCCCACCTAGCTACCTCAACAAAACAACCCAGTCTTGTTGACACCGACTAAATGGAATAGTGAAAACACTTAACATGTCACATCATCAATGGCGGTATTAGAAACATGGAACCTAATTAAGGTCGACATTGTCCTCCATCACATTTCTTTATGACCAGTCACGCCAGGCCAGTCCAGTCAAAGCAAATCTTTTTTTCCAGAGCTTCAAATAATTTTTAAAACCGATTTTGTGACTGGTGCCCATTCATCTTAAACTTATCCATATACAGTTGAGAAACACCTATATCCGAAATGGTTTAATGATCGAATACAATGTGTCATGACAGATAATTAAACTTTAATGAAAAAAATGGTAATCATCCATGAACGGTTGAACAATCAATTATTTATCGGCAAGCAATAACGAGGACAATGAAAAGGTGGTAATATCTGGCACCTAGCTCTATTGCATTCTGGGAGGTAAATGGTATTCCGCAACAAATGCTCTGTATGGTTGAGTGGGAACGGATGCACCCATGTGAAATCAGATGTTACATACCACATGAACATTTACTGAAAAAAAAAATATTTGGAAGCAAAAGTTTTATGAAACGGCAATACTTGACATAATATATATAAAGTAATTCCACATCCTAATTGAATTCCACGTTATTTTTGTTCACATGGCAAAAACAATCGCAAATTTGCATCGAGTTTATAGTTTATGTTAGACCCTCTGTGACTTACGCGGTACCCTGACAAATAAATGTGAATATAGACGTACCCTCGTACATTGAACAATACCCACAGTGAACTGTTTCCGTCATTGTTTTTATGTTACACCTTGTAGCGGTAGGTGCAGAAGAAAACACGCAATTTCATTTTTGCTCTTCGAAACCGTTGTAACGAATCGAGGAGTCGGGGATCTCATGACGAAATCGCTCTACTACTGCCACTCGGACTTAGCATTGTTTATTGCTTTGAGTCTCCGCTTTTCATTGTGGATTTCTGTTCACCTGGAAAGCTGTAAGGTTCATGTGAGTTGTTTTGTCTGGTCACGTAACACTATATTAGTATATTTTACTGAAAAGTGGGACGGACGCGATTTTCTCGTAAAAGTTACAACACACGATGTAGCCCCACGTCCACTGCATGGGATATCGTACGAGGTGCGTGTTCAACCCAATCATGCCAATATTCGGAACGTTCCAGAGTCCGAAACACCACAGCACCACACATCGCATGTACGGGACGTGGTACTTGTACTAGTGAGTTACATACTCGAAACTGACACTGACTGACCACCGATTTTGTAAATTTTACATAAAGCAATTTTAAGAATCAATTATTTGGACAGTTTCTGTTTAGTATTTCAAAGTTTATACCATTTGTTTTCATTAACATTTTCGTCTACATCGAGTTCTCACCAAATCGCGATATCTTTTACAATTGGCGTTACTATATTTCTTGTAAGTTTACATTGATCCTTGCCCTCCCTACTCTGTAAAGATACTGGTGGGTTACAATATATTATTACCATAACTGTTTTAATCCCTACACCTATTTTTTTTTTAGAAAATGCTTCGTTATACTGCTAATTGCATTGACAGATAATTTATCATCAAAAACAGTACTTCGCTTAAGTAGTACAAATTTAGGAAGTGCAATATAAACGTGGCAAATTAATAATACTGCAAACGTCATTGTCATCCTAATATTACAGTCGTTAAAATATATACTTGTTCCACTTTGTTGGATATTAAATCGATTATATACTGAATCGGACAGATTAACCAAGGGGTAATTCATGACGGCTCATAATATCTTTTAGAAGCAAGCCATCTTCAACAGGGTGTTTAATACTGTACTCCAAACTACCGTGTTTTCCGAGCTACTTGGGAATACTCATTTTTATATAATATTACGGGAAATTGAGCGGCGAATTTGGTTTCTAGATGGACAAATTATTCTTTTTTGGGGAGGGGGTTTATATTTATTAAACTAGAATCAATAAAGCTCCACCGGATACGAAATGTTTATGTGGTACCTAACACGGCCGTAATTCACAAACAAGCCCGAGTGTCGGATATTGTCGATTTCATGACGACATCTTTGGCATGTCAATTTAACCCAGATGAAAATACTTTAACTGTCCAGAATAAACAGTCGGCGCACAGATGAAAATAACCTCAAATTGTTGACGCCGTAATATATGTGCTTAACTGGAATATTAATTGAGTTTAATAGTCAGAGTCTTAAAGGGATTCCAATGAATGTTTTCACTCAAATTGTTTTACTGGACTGGCGCAGGCAGAGTTTATTCTCGCCCAGAATGGCCACCAGCTACTCTAGTTCAAAAGGATATCGCTGCCAAGCTGCTTGAAGTCGGGTAATTTTCCGATTAAAAATTCCTATGTGTAAAACTAGACGAGTACAGGCTTACGTTCCCTGTTTACTCCGTAAACTGTACTGTCAGTAGCCGACTTTATTGGTAACCCCCTGATATGGAGACCCATAATAAGCTTAGCATGAATTAACACTATTATACTTCTCGACAAGTTTGTCATACGTTCACCTGGCAGAGCCGGATAGCTTATCTCGGGCGCTCAGAAGACAACACTGCGTTCTCAGTGAATTCCAATGAAATTTCGCGATTTATTAAAACAGCATCTGCTTTTCATTATCATACATCACCCTTTTCACTACATTGGCAGTGTATTATTGGTCTCGGTTCGGTAGACACAAACTGTGTCGAACGTCATTTCCAATAGCTGCCTTGAACACTGCAACTGCCGCATATACAGTATAAAAGACGCAGCGAGACTTGACCACCACCCCACCCCCCCCGAGTACGACTCGAGTTGACGTTTACATTGGCAGCCCCAATAGCGTAACGCTCCTTTCTCAATTTGTGAAATAAACTCATATCGTGTTTCAAAAAACGAGATGGTGATGTCTCGAATTCTCGTTGTGACTAACTTACATAACTTACCGCTTCTAAGATATGGGAATTCTTACTTTGAAATTGGCCGTGTCTCTTTAAACTCGTGCTCTAACGTAGCGTGCATGTTTTAATACAAGCAAGGGTTGTAATTTTTCCTACCGAAGTGTTTACAAACCCCAGTGTTTTACAATATACTTGTATGTCGGTATTAATGTATACCAGAAGTGATATGTAAAATATATGGATGTATAGTTTCATCAACATCTCTGTTATCATCAGTGGTTTACTTGGGTAACACAGTTAGCATCGAGCATATATGATGTGGTTTCAAACCAGACGGTCGGCTAGTACGCCTGTGGCTCATTCGGTCAATGACAAATGTTGTCTGGGAAGGTCATCATAAAGCAACCCGATATAACAGTTATTTAAGTATGTGTTGAATGAAAATTGAAATTTAAAGTCGAAAATGACCTATAAGTACTTTTCCATTGGGGATATCGTATACGATAGCCTGTCCCCTCACGTTTGTCTAGTATGTCGTCTGGCTAGCCGTGAGAACACATTATGTCGTCGCGATATTATAAACGGGTCATCTAGACCCTGAGTTGTTGAAATCTGTATACATTAAACACTCAAATTTACAGCTTTATGCCGTGCTTGCTTCATCGACAGGACGCCTGTCTAAAACCAGGGGGCTGATGGGTTTTCCACACTCTGCCCTTCTTCGCTATTGAAAATGACAGTTCGCTAAGGAGGGTGTTAATTACTTAATTGGGATGTAATGGCTCGATTCTACGGTCAGTGGAGAACTTGAAACCTTCGCTCGGAGATTAGGTGATAAAAGAACAACAACGACGTATGCACGGTTTCGGCAACAGTCTCGAATATTATTACAAGCAGTCGCCGGTGAATAACGTACCTCCACCAGGCGAGCTTTAAATCCTCAGCGCAAATAGTCCAGCATAGATCTGCCCTGGCGAATAAATAACGACATTACCGTACTCGTTCCAGCGTTAATTAAACATACTCCTCTAAATTTCTGTACCCCCCACCCCTCAAAAAAATGAGAGCTACTGTATAACATACAAATAAAAACTTAAAACCACGATATATCGGTCATCGCACTGACCCTGATCGCCAAGTATATCCCATTAAAACAAGCTCCAAATATTGCGTGTTTGTGCACATCGGCCATACCTGTATAATTTACTTTCGGCCAGCTTAGTTAAGCCATACTACAAGTAGCAACCACTTAGCGCACTATTCTCGAGTGTAACTCTATTACATATTTTAAATAAGTAGTTGTCGAGTCTGTTTTAAATTCCCTCTTCAACAACTGCCAATATACTATTGCACTTTCTTGTCTGTGTGTCACTGAGATCAACAAGTCCTTTCCCAGCAATTCAGCTTTGCAACGATCTGCTAAGATGTGTGTTATATGGGTGTAACGCGTTTGATAATGAATGCCCAGTTCCTCGTGGGAGATGATATAATAACCTAAGGCTTGTGATTCTACCTCGTTCTTGAATCAAGAGAGAGAAATGGCGATTTGATTTCAGCTGAAGGTCAGGTGGTTGCATTTTTCGCGAAAGGTATGCGGAATTTCGAGCTAAAAGAACTGAAACAAAAGTTTAGTGAGGTTTTCACTGGCCGTGGTTGTGTAATACGTCACTTAATTGCTATGTTTGTACGTATAGTAAATAAAAACATGTCCGTGTTAAAATAAAACTTGTGGATTATAGGATCAGAATTTATACTTACGGACACATTCATTCGCGTCTTCGTCCGTGGCTCTTGCCCAGGGTCGGTCATAGTGGAACGGCTTACATTGGTCACACTCCGGTCCCGCTGTATTATGCTTACATTCGCAAGCCATTTCGCCGTTGCGATCTTTTATACAGCGGGAAGCGTGGCCATTGCATTTGCAACGACCGCCAACGGAGAATTCAGAAACTGAGTAATAGTAACTGTCCCTGGCGATTTCATCTTCTTCGTCGCCGTATGTATTAAGTCGATTAAACACCACCATGATGTCGGTGGCAGTCACCCAATCCTGCAACACGGGACTATTGTCAAAATCGTACGCAGACGGCCGACTCTCTAGGGTACTGAAGGCAATCCTTCCACCAGACATAGGCTCGATACTACTATGATCGTCCGTACATAGCGCTTCTTGCTCGTTTTGTTTCGTAATCGCCGCGCGGTTTGATATCCCGTACATTTTTCGGCATTGACTAGAGTAAAACTGATAAGGCTGCCACGATTTCCCATAGTCTTGCGATTTGTAGATAGCCATAGAATCCGGTCTGGCCGAACAGAATTGCAAACTGATGTAAGTCAGCTCGAATTTTTTCTCCAAGCTAAGAACTAGAGTAACGTTGTTCGGGTGTTGTACGTAGGGCTCTGACTGCCAGCAAGTCAGGTTATTTGGGTTGTTAAGATCTGTTAGAAATTCGGGAGGATGACGCCGCTTAGGGTGATCAGCATCACATACGAAACAAATGCGCGATCGTTCTCCACTCGCTCCTGTTGACATGACGCAGTATCGACTCGGCGGCGACCCACATGTACTGCTACTTTTGACGGGTATACCGAATGCGGCGTTAACAAAGTCTGGAATGCAACGTTTGGGGTTACCGTTCTCATCATAACACGGATCAAGAGGCCGCTGTTGCATCACGCTCAGGCCGTTATATCCCTTGGTCACGACGAACATCGCTAGCACGAAAAGTAGTAGACATAAGTGTCTGGAACTTGTTGGGGTGTAACTCATTGTTACAGTTATTGTTGGGAGAGTGGACAAAAGCAGACAGTGTCACAAATACGTTACAGGGATGTGAAGCCCTAGCCAGAAGAACTCGATCACATTCGAAACCAGGCAAGTCTGTGTACAAGTGCAATCAGTCCTTGCAAGTCGTTTGAAGTATAGCACGTATAACGCGGGTGTAAATTCCTTCTAGCATACGAGTTATATGCTGTCTACTCTCGGTAAACTCAATGCCAACGTAAACAATGCGACAAGGGTGCACACAATTTTCACTAGAGGATACAGTTGTGTGACGAGGACATCCATGCAACTCTAAAACCACACTGTGGTACGCAGTGCTGAAAATCTGTCTACTTTTCACGTGGCTCTGGTTACAACTGATTGCCTGTGGCGTATTTAGGTTGGTGTGAGCTATAGGCGGGCATTAATCATCACCATAGGACGTCTTGCTGAACCATACACAATCCAGAAACCGGTTGACGCTTGCGCAGTGATGACTGGTAACTGTCTGCTTTCTCCGCCTCCAGTGTTAATTAGCATAACTGATAGAGGAAGATAGAAAAGAATCATATGAACGCAAGTGTTAACTAGCTAATGAGATAGCAAAGTAATATGTGCGCACATGCTACACTATTGTACCTTCACCCGCTGTGTCAAAGTCTAAACTTGGTCAAAAGTGTCGATCCGACTTTACAAATGTGTTACGGTGACTCGGAACTAATCTAACGGAAAGTGGAAGTCAAATTCGGTCATTTAGACGTTGGTCCCCAATTGACAGGAGAAAGATGCACCCACTCTTTCATTATGTGGGCACCGTTTTGATAGAAAGCGCGGGGGAGGGTCAATAATACAGTGACCTCTATGTGTATCATATACTGTAGTCCTTTGAGCGCGGTAGTTGCAGAAATGTTTGCGAATACGTTGACTTTGGCAAAACCGTACAAATTACCGCATTAACATTTTGTGACATTTCCACCTAAACCAATGCACCACATCGTGTTTAATAGCTGCTTTCAACATCAGTCAGTGTTCACGGCGGTCAACCACGGCATGCACACTCAAGCGTTCACAGGGACGTCGCGTTTGAACCGGTGATCTGATAACCCGTAATTACCGTGCCATTGATAGTTATAAAAGAGTTAACACCCCATCACTGAGATACTCGGTGTCAGGGTGGCATTAATTACCTTTGATGATCCATGTAGGATATCAATTCTTCAATTCATTTGATAATATCGGTTGAAAACAGGACCAAAACGATAGTAAATGCACTCCAGCATAACTTACCTTAATAACACGTGGGCGAATGTTTAAGTTTCTGTTTACATGTAAATCAAATTTGCACCGCTGTTTGTTTACAGTTTTGCGATATGGATTACAAGGGAAATCTGCTATTGTCATGTGAGAGGGTGGTTCGTTATGTGGGAGGGGCGTCCTGTGATGGCCAGTGACAGAGAGGTTCACACGGTAAATAGGCATATATTTATTTTTTGGATAGCATGTTTCCTTTTCACAGTCGTGACGGTTTTAGTTGGATCACTTAAGCGGTCCACCCAGAATGAAAGAGAGGCCTTGAGCTGAGACTACAAGAATGGGATCTCTTTGGTTGAACATTTCCCCGATATCCGTGCTTCAAATGGGTATTAAACAGCCAGTGGGCATACAGTATGTGAACACAGTCTCCTTTGGTCTTGTCCATAGTTGACCTGGTTGGGGAGGGGCTTTATCTATTTACAGCTTTGAAAATGGGTGTTAACTTTACATCCTGGGTTTAGCCCAACATTGATTATACTAACCAATAATCCAATAAACATGTCACTGTGAAATAGTTGGTTGTGAATTGTTTGAGAGTTTTTTTTTGGGGGGGGGGGGTTCCAGTTGGCATGAACAGTTTTTTTTCAACATATCACAATAAAACAAATAATAATCAAAATGTTAATCAACTCGAAGTTTATAAAAAAAAAATTGTAGTTTTATTGTTCACTGGAAATGACGGTCACGGTGATGATAGAAGAAGAAAAAATTGTCTCAATAATTCTTGAACGAGTACTGTAAGTCACTTAAAATGAACGTTAAGATGGTGATATCCCATTACTTGACTGCTCGGTGTGTTTGGTTTATTTCTCATGTATATTTTACCTATCTGTTTTTGTAATTAACTCCCCGTTGTATAAACATAGGTCAATCACGCAGTTTGGTAAAGTAATGATGTGTGGGAGGAATGGTGAAAATATCACGTATTATATGGACGTCATTCAGTCTGTAAAAAATTACTATCCCATATTGCAAACATTTAAGCGAATAAAGAAAAAGTGCTTGTAATATAGAAATTGGTCTGATAAACCCTGAAAAAAACTGCAATAGCGAACTTAGAAAATAAAAAAACAAAAACAAATTGTAACTTTGTTGGCATTTGTAAACCTGGAGTTCCAAACCGAATGCCGACGATTTGTTCCATGTAATTCAACCGTGTACCAGCTTCTAAAAGCGTTCGCGCGTTCTGCTACATTTATTTGTCCTAGTACAGAAATACCTGCCTCGGTTAGTATAACGTACGTGTATGGGTCGTAGTCTACTCCGATACGCATTCCCACAAAAGCAAGATGCCGTGCTTGACCAGCGATCACGATAAATGTGTAAGAGGAACGTTTAACACCTCGTTTGCAATAATGGTATATTCTTGTTACGCGAACGTAATAGGTGTGAAAACTAAATCGATTGTATTTTTTCCTCAAGACTCACCAACCCAGTTGTTGACACTGCTCGGGTTAGTCCGGGCATTAGTCATATCGCGCACACAGTTAGATCGGCTCGGCACTATTCAGGGTGTTAACGAAAACAGGGTGAAAAGATGTCTCCGCACCTGGCCAAAACCCGAACACAGAAGCACTTAGCACTGCCGACTGTTAATTGAATTCTGAAGTAGTTTCAAAGGAATTATTGCGCCAAATTCTTGAGGTAAAGAATTGTCGAGAACAAAGCGATGCTGAGAAGTAGAGGCAATTATTGGAGGCTTTTGGAAGAGACGTGTGAATGGAGACACATAAAAAACAAGCAACTTGCCAATTCAAAACGGTTGATGTGCAAAATTGTACCTATAAAAAGCAGCACAGTTAATAAGACACGTGAAAAGGGTCGGAAAGAAGTTCATTCTCAAGGGAAGCTTTTTTTGTTATGGAGAATTGTTTTAGATTGATATCTCAGTGAGTCAGAGTTATCGAACACCAACTGGCTAATTGTTCTTGTCCTAGAGGTTTCCCATCACTGTTGTACCACTATACGCAACAGTTTCAGCAATTGCCGCAGCGGCGCTATTCAAAAGACGAGGTGTGAAAAGTGTATGTGTAGAATACAGAGAAATTGTTCTAAGTTTTGAAAACAGTTTGCACGTTCCGGGGCATTCTTTCCGACAACAGAGGTGGGCACATTTTGCCCATTCATGGCAAATTAAGGGTCAATTGATTGCATTGTACGATTCTCCCTCCGTTTAATATGTTTGAAAAGAGTATCCGGTATAGCCGGGTGCTTGGATATACAAAACTGTCGACCCTTTTCTATATTTACCTGTGCTAGACGGGATATATGTTGTCAGATTATGTATATGAGTTTTTTCTTTGAACGATTGAACGATCTATTTCCATGTGTAAATCTGTTGTAGGCAGGTATGGTATAAATTAAGATTACCTTATCAAGATGGTAACCTAACATTAACGGATATTAATAACACATGTCACACAGAAGGTGTAAATCACATTATATTTTGATTGATGTGTTAGTCTTTTAAAAAGATGCAGTGACTCAACTACGGATACGGTGTATACGACAAAACTGTCATTAAATTGTCTGTATGTTGGAACCGTAATTAAATACATAAATAAAATAAATTTCAAATCACATTTAGCCCATCATCCTTTTCGCGGAATCTGCATGATTATCATTTCAATGCACACAGACGAGACAGACAGCTTATTATTGTAAATTAATCTTACTTTTCTATAATTCAATTCATGAATTGATTAATGAGGACATTGGTACTTGTAGTATTTTTTCTTCTTCTTCATGGTGCTTTAGTATTTTATCGACCAAAAATGTTACTTTTGTGTGTAGTGGCAACCGTCTATGAAGCGTGAAAACCGTACACCCCTTCCTTTTGAACAACTATACGAGAAAAAAAAAAAACGACGGCCGGTAAATTGGAAAGTCAGTAAGGTATAAAGAGAAGTCTGATAGAGCCGGCGGCTATGGTGTTCATTGGATTGCCCTAACGCTGTATGACATGGCCCTTGCAGTGTTTGTTTTCGGCAAAACAAAAGACTGTTTACTTGTCCGACATGGACGATATACTATCAAACTTGCCGCAACAGAATGTAGCCGATCACGGTGTTTATGCAATACTACGACGCAAGCGTGACGAATTGCTTCATTTCGCCCCTAGATAATGTTGACATCCGAAAAATGCACCGTCGACGACTTTGGAACATATTTACACAGAAGTAATACAGTTGTAAATATACTACTTTTAATATATCGGAAAGAAAATACGGGAAATTTCTAGATGAACATATGAATTCACGTGTTCCACTATACGTACTCGCGTCGGCGAAATTTGCCATTGAATATTTACTTCGTAAATATGTTTGGGGTCATTGCACTATTTATCAATTAAACTAAATTTCTGTTCATCAAAATATGTTTATACCTAAATTAAACTAAAATATTAACGGCGAATTCTGTAATACTTGTAAACAATATGTCGGGAAATAATATTCAAGTACACAATTATGACGAATCACTTTTGTATACATTCCGTGCATCGTTTATTGGAGACTAGAGTTTCCCAACAAACACTGTACAATTAACTTGTTGACTTCCTTGCATGCGGGTAGGTCAAACAATGACACGCGCCACTCACTTTTAGTCAATTCAATTAATTTCTTTGCTAAACGACATATCTGTATTATTTTCTATACTTTCTCTTTGTCACACATTGGTGGCGTTGTTTTATCTACTCAGCGACAACTCGTCACAGAATGAATCACAAATGCTAACTTTTGCATGAATGATGAACCACGTGACCGAGCGTTGATATTTACTCAAAAGTATTGAAAAACTGAATCCAGAACAGCTCGATGACAATTGCGGCAATGTGATTTTTTGATCTGAAAATTAGCAGTGGGCTACAATTCCTAAAATATGCATCCCATTTAAAAAAAATGATGCCATTCAAAGATGACTCATGAAAACCACCGAACGAATAACCCACTGCCATGTTTTTTCGGAGTGAATTTAATAGGACATTTTGTTGATATTCGAATCCCGAAAGGTAAAGCAAAATTCGTGGTCACATTTTTGGAGTTGAGG